CGACTTACTCACATTGTGATAATTTATTGTGAATGTACCAGATTTGAGTTCACAAAAAACTTTTTCTCAAAAAAAGTTCCGAGGAAAGTTTTTATTAGGGCAAGAGAGTGTTTTGCCATGGGAACCGTAGTTGTGCCAAGAATCGTTACAAAACTAGGCTAGAAGAGAAGAACTATGCACCTCCAGGTATCAAGGAGACACACATTTTTTGCTAGTTTCTCTCTTAGCGGAATTTCCAACTGACAATTTTTTATCTCAAGTTCAAGGGCATCAATTACTCTCAGGTGCAGCTTTTACTAGTCTTTTGACAAAAAGTGGCGATTACCACCCTGAATAGTAATTTTATTTTCTAAGGAGCTTTTGTAAGTCCTTTGACGTAAACACTTTCGCGTAGTCACAAAAGATATTTTCTTCACTTTCTTAATGTCACTTCCTCATTTCGAAAGTGCATAAGCTCTTCGACAACAGAAAGGTCATACATAGTTCACATTTCACCACTAAAAAGACGCTCTTTCCTGCTCCTTACGAGCTGACTTCCGCTTCCAAACATGGACGTTTTCGCTAGATATTGGTAGCAGGACCTCATTACATCCGAAGTGGAGAGCTCTTTGCACTGATCTTTAGTAGGGGGTAACGTGATAGCATGTAATTGAGTCATTCTGATGGGAAAATAGACCAAAGACTATATGGTGAATGTGCAATCAGTTCAGCTAATCGTTTTTTGGACGAGTTGTCACGAGATATGGGTAATTAAAAGAGAGTGAGTCGCTTTGTTTGACTTCAAAGTCGTGCTGAACGAAAAATTGTGTCTGGATGACACATGCAAGGAAAAAAGAAAAAGGAAGAGAAATTTTTTTGAGCAGTCTAGGAAAAAAATTTCCTTTCAGGGATTCTTAGCAAGTTCCAAGATATTCCTTACCTCGCTCTGTTCCTTTTCCACTTCTTCGGCTTCCGGTTCTACCGCGCCATTGTCCTCGAACGGAGATGCCTCTTCGCTAGGCAAATCATACATCCGTGGGCCATCATCCTGGGCTAGTTTTGGGGCTGCTGAGGTTAGGGCTAATAAACCCAAGGAGAGCAACAGGCCACACAGCATGTAGCTAGAAGTGAGGACCAAATCGATCGTTGAGAAGCCCCGAGGCGGCGCCTCGTTCGTCTCGCGACGCACGTCATCGGCTGTGACGACGATGTGTCGCTAGGCGGTTTATCCCGCGGATAAATACTCGCGCTTTTTCAACAAGGAAGTAGTATCGAAATCTTTCGTTAATGGTAAATAAGTTGCTCAGAACAGTGAACTCGAAAGCGTGCGAGGTTGACAGGTACCTATTATATGAATAAGTAACATAAAGTAACGTAACGTAACGTAGTTTCAAGGTAGTGAAGAATGAGTTTCTTCCCCCACCCCTCCCACCAATAGAAGTGAGTTACAAACTTCTCGATAATGGTCTACATATTATTGGGATAATTTTTGAACTTCGTAATAATATTTTTTGGATATATCAGGTTGATGCATGATTTTTTGCACTAAACATTTTTAAAACTTTGTCAATTCTCCAGCTTCCACGAAATCTTTTGATTCAACACATA